ATGGTAATGAAAAAGGAACGTCACTAAGCCTTCCCTAGATGTACCTTTTGTGAATCCTATTCAGTCCAACTTGAATATAATACATCAGGCTGTTTAATAGGTCCTTACCTTTTGCATAAACATGAATCTCATGAATCGTCCTAACCGCCAGTGAACCGTTGCCAGTTATCCAGTGGCGGAGCGTAGCCTAATTTCGAATTTCTAACGACGGTGCCCACGTGCAGATTTTTTGATCAGCGGTAAATAAATAATCAGCGCGCACAATTCGCTCACATAGAGGAGCCACCTGAGAGGAGCCGATTACTCCTGATACCCAGCTGGATATACACCCAAGAAAAATTTCTAACAAATTAGAGGGATAAAATATCTCCAGCAAGAATTTTTGATACATTTGATAAATTCTTGACCGCAGATTTAAGACTTTACTTCCCAGCAGAACAGCCGAAACCTCAGTTCCCAGCCAGCAAAATTTTCTCTGTAGAACAGATATTGTTAGGAACAGATCCGTTGGGTGCCCCTGTGTTTTGTAGAGGACGTTTCGACACGGGCAGCTGCTCTGCAAAACTTATTGCGGGAAAATGAGCTCTCTAGCAGATTCATGAGTAATTTTGTGTGGGTTCCGTCATATCCATAAACCATTAACCCCCAACAACTAGGAAAGACAGTTTCCACAATTGCTACGCTTGCTACGCCTGCTACACTTGCTACGCTTGCTACACTTGCTACGCCTGCTACACTTGCTACACTTGCTACACTTGCTACGCCTGCACCACTTGCTACGCCCGCTACACCGGCTACGCCTGCAACACTTGCTACACTTGATATGTCTGCTGCACTTGCTGCAGTGTTCGCATTACATTTTTCGTACTTCCGTTGTGTTAGTAAGTCACATTTATATATTTGAGAAAGTTCAATGAGACAAAGTTAGAGTTGTTAAAGAGCCGATGAGCCTCTGGGCCAATAAAACCTATAGGTTGGCACATTTGAAATATTAGTACGTGACGTACCGCGAATATATCGCTATTAATCTCAATAGAGAGGAAATAGAATACAAATAAATACATTACAAGGAAATGGCAGTCCCTCTAAGCAGTAAAAGTAGCAACAAGAGCTAAGGGCAGGTATCTTTCGATATTTTTAACCCTTACGTCAAAATAAACCATCATTTCAGCGAACCAATCAGCGAGCCCGTTCAGTGAGGTACTGTTTGACCCAATTATTCCGGACAAATCATTTTTGACGTTTCGACAAGGTTTCAGACGAGATAAAGCCACACGTTAAAAAACAAAAAAATTCCGCAGCAATCGCTCAGAGTTTTAGCCTTCTTTTATCGTAAACCTTTTTTATTACAGTTTTTGCAATCGCCTGGAACGTGTTCTATTAGAGAACAAAGTAATTTTACAAATCTGGTAATCCAGGGATAATCTGTTCGTTATTATACTTCGAGCTGTCAATTTACAAATGAACCGAACCGTGAAATATCAAGGGGCGTTTTCCAGAATCGTGGGGTTTGCGGGCAAGCGTTTCCTCTTACCCCCTCCCTCTCCCCCTTCCACCTTTTTTTTTTTGCTCCCGCTCTAACTTTCGCGCAATAACTCGATTGGAAACGCTTCCTAGGCAGGCTACATCTGTTCTAGATTTCTTCTATTTTAATTCTGCAAAATTCACCTATATTGATGATATGATTTTGATTTTTCTATACTAGGTTACTATTTGTTATTTCTAGATGGTAAGAAGAACTGTCGAGACTTTTTATTAACAATTTGAAACATGGAGCATTATTCCAATACACATATTGCAGATTAGAAATTGCATGCGATGAATTCTGTTCCAAAATGTAGATGTGTTGGGATCTCAATCTTCTAGGAAGGGACCCACTGTTGTTCGATTCAATAAGTGACCACCTCCCCAAGATGACCTGACTCAATCTTTGCATTTTTGGTGGTCATCAACAATAGTTCAGACTGAATTGAAATGAGAAAGAGGAGACACTTGGAAGAAAAGAAACCCTTGAGCTTTATACAGCAATAAAAGGGGAAAGTTTATTGTTCCTGAATTTCTTAGAAGGCACAAATTACCTCTAACAACGTTCCCACGATTTTTTTTTATAGACTGATAGTAATTATTCTGATATGTAAATATCAATATGTATGTATATGGATTTTGTTCCAATATGTAAATAGGACACATTCAATGTCATTTTCAATTCTTTTAACTCGCATGCAAGCAGATGAATCACAGCCTAACTAATGATATTATCAACAGAATGTGCCGCACCATTGCTGTCTTTTAGATACCCTAGTCTACTAATAAAAGATTTTTTGATTTTGCACTAAAAGCATCTGTTCTAGCCTGCGTAGCAAGTGTTTTCCGGGCGAGTTCGTCGAGAAAAGTTGGGGCGGGAGCAAAAATAAAACGAATGACGGGGGAGGGGGAGGGGAAAGAAGGAAACGCTTGCCCGCAAACCCCACGATTTTGAAAAACTGCGTTCGCACACGAACACAGCTTCTGATTGGTGCGGTGCTGGTAGTGTTGATATACTTAGCACTCGAAACATCAATCAAAACCAGGTATGCTTTGTTTACGTGCGCCACAGATCTGGTCTTATCTGATTACAATTGCTTTGGACTGATATTTATTTGAATCGTGTTTGCGCGAGGTTTACGAGATCAGAGTCTTTAAAGTATAATGTGAGATCGAGCAGTGAAGACTAGGGAAGGCCAATTTATTGGGAATGACGGCGTGCGGATCTGACTGGAAAAAATGGACTGTTTGTGGGAGATAACATCAACGTAAATCAGAGCATCGGTACTAGACACTAGCTAAAGCAGTCATGGACAAGCGATTTGTCAGCTTTTTGAAGAGAAAAGATTCTTTTTGTTTATTGGAAATTTAGCGGCAGGGGGGCACCCAACGAACATTTTTCTGAAAATGAGCCGTTAACTACAGAAAACGAAAAATTAGATGCTTTTAAGGCATTTTCAAGCGCTTTTCTGTGTTGCTGGAAAGAATTTATCTGTTCCTCACTCCCAGCAGGTTAGATGGCTATTCTCCCAGCCAGCAGAGTGGCCTTCTCCATGTTTACGAGCCAGCAGAAAAAAAAAATCTGTATTCAAATAAGCGCCGCAGGGTTGCTTGGAAATTGCGGCGCTGATTCGAGTATATACGGTCAAAATAAATAACACACAGCCTTATCTCTCGCTTGTCAACCAAGAATAACAACAACTACAATGGTAATGAAAAAGGAACGTCACTAAGCCTTCCCTAGATGTACCTTTTGTGAATCCTATTCAGTCCAACTTGAATATAATACATCAGGCTGTTTAATAGGTCCTTACCTTTTGCATAAACATGAATCTCATGAATCGTCCTAACCGCCAGTGAACCGTTGCCAGTTATCCAGTGGCGGAGCGTAGCCTAATTTCGAATTTCTAACGACGGTGCCCACGTGCAGATTTTTTGATCAGCGGTAAATAAATAATCAGCGCGCACAATTCGCTCACATAGAGGAGCCACCTGAGAGGAGCCGATTACTCCTGATACCCAGCTGGATATACACCCAAGAAAAATTTCTAACAAATTAGAGGGATAAAATATCTCCAGCAAGAATTTTTGATACATTTGATAAATTCTTGACCGCAGATTTAAGACTTTACTTCCCAGCAGAACAGCCGAAACCTCAGTTCCCAGCCAGCAAAATTTTCTCTGTAGAACAGATATTGTTAGGAACAGATCCGTTGGGTGCCCCTGTGTTTTGTAGAGGACGTTTCGACACGGGCAGCTGCTCTGCAAAACTTATTGCGGGAAAATGAGCTCTCTAGCAGATTCATGAGTAATTTTGTGTGGGTTCCGTCATATCCATAAACCATTAACCCCCAACAACTAGGAAAGACAGTTTCCACAATTGCTACGCTTGCTACGCCTGCTACACTTGCTACGCTTGCTACACTTGCTACGCCTGCTACACTTGCTACACTTGCTACACTTGCTACGCCTGCACCACTTGCTACGCCCGCTACACCGGCTACGCCTGCAACACTTGCTACACTTGATATGTCTGCTGCACTTGCTGCAGTGTTCGCATTACATTTTTCGTACTTCCGTTGTGTTAGTAAGTCACATTTATATATTTGAGAAAGTTCAATGAGACAAAGTTAGAGTTGTTAAAGAGCCGATGAGCCTCTGGGCCAATAAAACCTATAGGTTGGCACATTTGAAATATTAGTACGTGACGTACCGCGAATATATCGCTATTAATCTCAATAGAGAGGAAATAGAATACAAATAAATACATTACAAGGAAATGGCAGTCCCTCTAAGCAGTAAAAGTAGCAACAAGAGCTAAGGGCAGGTATCTTTCGATATTTTTAACCCTTACGTCAAAATAAACCATCATTTCAGCGAACCAATCAGCGAGCCCGTTCAGTGAGGTACTGTTTGACCCAATTATTCCGGACAAATCATTTTTGACGTTTCGACAAGGTTTCAGACGAGATAAAGCCACACGTTAAAAAACAAAAAAATTCCGCAGCAATCGCTCAGAGTTTTAGCCTTCTTTTATCGTAAACCTTTTTTATTACAGTTTTTGCAATCGCCTGGAACGTGTTCTATTAGAGAACAAAGTAATTTTACAAATCTGGTAATCCAGGGATAATCTGTTCGTTATTATACTTCGAGCTGTCAATTTACAAATGAACCGAACCGTGAAATATCAAGGGGCGTTTTCCAGAATCGTGGGGTTTGCGGGCAAGCGTTTCCTCTTACCCCCTCCCTCTCCCCCTTCCACCTTTTTTTTTTTGCTCCCGCTCTAACTTTCGCGCAATAACTCGATTGGAAACGCTTCCTAGGCAGGCTACATCTGTTCTAGATTTCTTCTATTTTAATTCTGCAAAATTCACCTATATTGATGATATGATTTTGATTTTTCTATACTAGGTTACTATTTGTTATTTCTAGATGGTAAGAAGAACTGTCGAGACTTTTTATTAACAATTTGAAACATGGAGCATTATTCCAATACAAAATTGAGAGCTTACTTAAAATATGAAGATGGATTAGCAGTTTTGGATCTGAAAAAAAAAAGACTCTTCAGGGTGCCTGATGCAGTCACTGAACTGAGTGAATCAGAGAAACTTGTGCTGGATAAAAATAACCTGACTGAATTACCAGCAAGTATCAGCAAGCTGAAAAATCTTATTGTGCTCGAATTGCGTAACAACAAAATCACTGAACTACCTGCTGAGATCGGTGACCTGAGGGAGCTGAGGGTGCTGAATGTATATAACAACCAGTTGGTTGGTTTACCTACCAGTATACAGAGGCTGACCAAGCTTGAAGAGCTGCTCTTGGATGGAAATAAACTAACTGAACTACCCGCTGAGATTGGTGACCTCAGGGAGCTAAGGAGGCTGTGGGTAATGCTCAACCAGTTGGTTGGCTTACCTACCAGTATACAGAGGATGACCAAGCTTGAAGAGCTGTCCTTGGATGTCAATAACCTAACTGAACTACCAGCTGAGATTGGTGACCTCAGGGAGCTTAGGAGGCTGAGGGTAAGGCTCAACCAGTTGGTTGGTTTACCTACCAGTATACAGAGGATGACCAAGCTTGAAGAGCTGCACTTGGATGAAAATAAACTAACTGAACTACCTGCTGAGATTGGTGACCTCAGGGAGCTGAGGAGGCTGTGGGTGAGTAACAACCAGTTGGTTGGTTTACCTACCAGTATACAGAGGATGACCAAGCTTAAGGAGCTGTACTTGGATGGAAATAAACTAACTGAACTACCTGCTGAGATTGGTGACCTCAGGGAGCTGAGTCTGCTGCAGGTGAGTAACAACCAGTTGGTTGGTTTACCTACCAGTATACAGAGACTGACCAAGCTTGAAGAGCTGCATTTGGATGGAAATAAACTAAATGAACTACCTGCTGAGATTGGTGACCTCAGGAAGCTGAAGAAGCTAAAATTGAGTCATAATCCTTTAACTGTTGACGCAATAAGACGTGCCTTAAAGTTAAGGAAGAAAGGAGTACTTGTTGGTGGTGTTGCAGGTAAGTACAGCGGATATTGTAGTTATTTGGAAGTTCGAAAAAAACCGAGATAAAATGCCATTATTTGCCTGAAAAAGGGAAGTCAGTTTTTTTTCAGTTATCGCGGGTTTCGCGAATTTGAGGGTTGATAAATCATTAAGATATGCTACAAACTGTAGTTTCAAAATCGATGGTAAGTTTCTTGTACGTATTAATTCATTTTAATTAATTCGTCTGTTTTAAAATTTTAAATCAGCTGTGAAAAATAGCTATTATCCAGGCTAGGGTAATATCTATGGTTAATGAACACCAAACATTGTATTCCATCACACCCTTACTAAGTGACTCACTGGTTGTGTTTTCACGAACTTTCGGAGGGAGAGAAGCGACAACCGAAAATACGTCTGCTGTTCGCAGGCTAGTATTTCTTCGGGGAGGGAAGAAATACGGGCTCCCCTAGAAACGCCTGTGGGGGAGGCTATGTTTTCACTGTGGTCGATTTGCTGCTGAGCAGAACATTTTTTCTAGGTGTTTGTTGACATACCGACGATTACTAGCTGTTTTCACTTTTAAATTTAGCTCGGAATAACTCAGAGGATTCAAATTTAAAAAACGCGCCACATTCAAAAATATTAGGAGACGAAGCGCTTTGAATGTGTTTTCGTTTAATGATTCTCGCTATTTTATGAATGCAGTTGAATAGTGTCTCTAAAGAGTAAGAGGATAGGAAGTAATGTTGTAATCCTGTTTCAAAAGTAACAGCAAAACAGCAATAATTGCCGTAAAGTAGCTTGGGTTTAACCCGCGGTGCCAAATCGATGAAACTCGTTAATGGAAATAATGGATTCTGTTCGATTTTAAACGATAGCAATTAAGCGATTGATATCGGTAATCGATAAATGTCGAAGATCGAAAGAGTTGTGAGTATCAATTTTTATGAATTTTCATAAATTTCATTTATTTTATCGATTGTCAATGGTAATCCTTTAATAATGATTTTAAAAATCTTACCTATTAATTGCCGATTTATTCATCGAGGATAAAAGATTCACCCGTCCCTATTGTAAATTGGCACTGGCCATGGTGTTAGCCCTTCACTACAGCCTCTAGTAAAATGTTCATTTCGCCAGTCATTTGGCCGGCGTCTGTCACAACGCGCAACGCGATTGGCTGCGGTATTTATCAGAACAAGTTATACCATCTCGCGCGGTTGTCTAACTTTGCGTAATTTTTCGGTCATAAAGCCGAAAAAACAGTGAGCATGTTTAACTCGCTAACGCAAGACGAGGTGTTTTAACTGTATTTATGGACTTTTCTGGCTTTATCTAGCTAAAATTATCTCAGTGAAAACACAACCGCAGAGTCTGAAAGCCATTTTTCACTTAATGGTTGATGTTTAAACAATAGAAAACGTTTTCCGTGTTTGCATACCCTGATATAAACACGAGAGGGGTTGGGAGAATTCGAGACAAAATACGGACTTTTCTCTACACCTTCTTTGTAACGATTTTCCAAGTTTCAGCCGACGAGGGAATGGGCAAATAAAGTAAACTTGTTGAGTTTTGAACTCGAAAACTTTTTCAAATTTGTGCTTGCGTGATTAGCGCGCCAAAAGCAAAACATCTTGACGCCACAACCATGTTTACATACTCTCATGCAAACACTCCTCTCGACCAATCAGAGCGCGCGTACTATCTTAGTTATTTTATTAATGGATGATGTAATATTATCATGTTATAATCATGGAAGTTTGTCCGCTGAACACAATATGTATTAAAATAAAAAAATATTGTTACAGAACAATAAACAGACTGTTAAGGATGAAGAGTTTTGAGGTGTTCAGTAAGCTCGCTGTTCAAGTTTCAAATTAGAGAAGGTGGCTTGGTTTGCTGTGTTGAAGCCTGAGAATGCACTTCTCGTGATCTAAACTACAACTGGTCTGAAATTTTTTATACCATTTAACAAAGTTATAAGTCACACTTAGCTTCACTTAGGTTTGTATTGCAAATTAGTTTTTGTTGTTTTCCCTGTCAGCATGCACGGCAATAGTGTAAGTGAATTGTCAAACCGCCCCTCCCCCCCTCCCCACATGGACGGCCAGGTGTGTTGCCTTTCACCTGAAACCTGCCCAGCACGTAGCCCTTAGGATCACTAAGGTAACCAAACCTTCCCATCACTTCAAAAGCATAATGCTTGGAGAGAAGGAAACAAACTACAGAAAAATTTAATCAAAAGACAATGCCATTTAATTATTTAGCGTAATGACTCGATTTAGCGCCCAGAGCGCTTATATACTTATGGTTTCTCAAAGGAGGGCGCTTATTCGAAATAGGGTGGGCGTCTATTTCATTTAGGTTGCGAAGCAAAACTCTCGAACCATAAAACAGGGGCGTGGAAACTTATGAGCAATAATTAGCAAACGTCTACGATCATGGCTCCTTCTGGCAATCCCTTGATTTGGAGTTGGAAGCTTGTTTATGCCAAGACAAACTTAAAGCAGGAGGAACACATACACCAACCCACGGCCAATACCTCACGCATGCGCACAGCCATATCAAATTAATCAAATAACCAAATTTGGAACACTTAAAAAAACCCATGTTCTGTTTATTTGATGTTTTGAATTTTCGGTTTAATGGAATAATAAAACAAAATATTTATGACACGACCTCCAGTGAGCAATATTCGCCCCTCAAGTAATCGACTCCTTTTTGTGGGGAAAAAATAGTCATCTCCCCCGGCTATTACTCGAGGAAATACGGTATCAACGTTATTGTTACTAAGCTCAGCATAAAGAGCCGGAACTGCATCAGGTTCGGTAGGCACCGGGCATTCAAAACCATACACTTTGGCACTATCTTTAGTGCTGTAGGTCCTTTGTTGATTTTAACAATCGAGAGCGTTGGCGGCCGTTCAGTCGGGTTGCGTAAATTAGGGTCAACCTTGTCACGATAGGATGGAACAATAGTCGGTGATTGAATAGCGGTGCTTATTTGGTATTGGGGCGCTTGGAATGCCCGGGTGGGGGTACATACTTCCTAGTAGTAGGCTAATGGGTATGTGCTGCTGGATTGGGCCGCATTTTCACGACTGGATTGACTATTATGAGGTTACATTTTTATAGGAGTTACTAGAATGGGGTCGCGCATTTTCAGGATTTTGGGGGTCAAAAATTAAAGTATGTAGGGATTTAAAAATAGAAAGATTTACACCACACCAAGTGTAACAAAAATGTGGCAGATCATTTTAGGATGTTCTAGTTAAAAGGCTTTAGAAGGTGGGTGCGTAAGCACAAAGTGACTAAGTTGGGACTGTGAAAATTACTTTTTTCCAAAAGTAACTAAGATGGAGTCTATATATTATCGCCACAGTATGGACTATAATGGGGTCGGGGTTTTGAGAGGCCAGCGGCACATACCCCAAAAAAATTAACCCAAGTAATCTCCAGAGTTGGAATGAGAGTGCTAATGCTATAGGGGTGCTTATTAGAGAGTGGGCGCTTATTGGAACGTAGTTAGTTGGTTGATGTTCAGAGTAATCGTTTTTTTTAGAGGGACAGGCATTTCACATGAATGCAAACAACACTTATAATTCTGGTGACGCAAAACACGACACTAATTTTTACGCACCATTCATGCATGTTGTTGTTGAACATGCACAGAGACTTGAAGTAGTCGCAGTAAAAAAAAAAAACAAGTTTAAAATAGCAGGTGGATTGTGTAACAGTATGAAAAATAACCAACATTTAATTATATCTGTCACATTTGAAATTCAGTAAAATTATGTTTACCATAGATTTGTTTTAATAACTTAAAAGACCATACTGAAAGATCACAAGAAGGACAATTAACACTGGCGTAGGACTAATTCTTTGATAGAAATTAGTCCCCCCCCCTCCCCCTTGACCTTTAATAAGCATTCGGCTTCTTTGTTTTTTTTTTGTTTTGTTTTTTTTTTCAATAGCTCCTTTAGAAATAGAAGCACGTGGAGAAAAAGCACAGCTCGCTTATAAAAGTGCTCTTAAGGATGGAGCTGTTAATGTTTACCGTGGTCGAGTATTGCTTATTGGGCAGGATCGAGCAGGAAAAACAAGTTTGAAGAAGTCTCTTATTGGTCTACCATTTAATTCAAAAGAAAAAAGCACTAATGGAATTGAAGTGGATCCTTCAAAATTTCAGTTGGACGTTGATGAAGTCAGGAATTGGCAACCTCTTGGTGAGAGAAAACAAGGATTGCTGGGATGTTCGAGCGATGTGGCACAGATGGTGGTGGAAAAGATGTGTTATATTCCAGCTAGCCGTGCCAGGGTTCAGGAAGAGAAAAGAGGTGAAGCAATACTTCAAAGTGATGATAACAAGAATGGGAAACAGGTTGATACTTATGGAGAAAAGGAGGAAGTTTCTCTTGTGAACCAGGTTTGTCTTTGTTGGTTTTGAAATTTGAAATGTGATGTTTTTTCGTGAATCCATCGTTAGTGCAAGAACTTCCTAACATTTGTTATAATAATTATAATTTGATTATCACCTTCTTCATAAGTTAGGTTATAGTGACTTCCCTGCCATTTGCCACAGTCTCCGTCTGGAAAATATGTAACAACTGCCAGATCGTTTTCTAGCTCGTTTTCCAGTGCTGGTTAAAAATTTAAACCAGCGCTTTTATACTTGTAAGTTTAGTTCCGAGAGTAGAATGATACTACTATCAACCATTTAGTTATATTTCCATGATTGTACCCATCTACACGTAAGCTGAGCCTTTGGGTTAGTAGTGCGTGTGCAAACCAAAGTGAGTTTAGCCATATCTCTATTCATACTTTTAAGTGTTAATTAGGCCTTGAACATAGCTCTCCCTTCTTTTGTTGTTGTTGTTAATCACAATTTCGTTGTTGTTTTCTTTTTTATCCGAGGAGTAAAGCCAAGGGGCTGGGAGGACTCAATCAAACACCATTTTCCTATATGTTCTTAAACTCACTGTTCCTTAAAAAATGCAATAACGTATTAACGTACGTTTTGGATACCTCATGGCTCCAATAATCGTGCCTCAATGTTTGAGCTTATTATGAATTTTCTGTCATCAAAAACAACTTTAAATGGGTGAATAATCGAATCGGAGGGTGAAGAGGAGTAATTAGGTGTTCATTATTTCATCATTCCAACTCGAAAATTTTCCTTGTTCCATTATTCCAAAAAAAAAGAACAAATTATTCCGTTGAAAACATATGCTTATTCCCTTATTCCGCGCCACAGAATCAGAATCAGAATCAACAGTTTTTTTTTTCGCACTCTGCTACAGGTTGGTGGTCTAAACGAAGACAGTGTTAGTGAACCCACATTAACAGAACCTGATCATGAGTTAGTGGTTGATACTACTTCACCTCCAGAGGAGATCAAGGATCGAGCTGTAAATTTGATAAAGTATATGAAAGGTGATGATGTTAAGCCTGAAGAATCTGTTGTCAGTATTGAACTGTGGGATTTTGCTGGACAACACCTATATTATGCATCCCATCCTGTATTTTTATCATCACGTGCGCTGTATATCCTGGTGTGCAACCTCAGCAAGTCACTGCATGACACAGCCAAGCTCTGTGTGAGGCAAGGGTCTCGTAATGTTGATTTGGAAAACCCAAATGGAGAAACAAATCTTGAGAACTTGTTGTCTTGGCTGTCCACAGTGCATAGCGTCGCACAAATGAGAAGAGAAACCTGTGATGACGTAGAAAAAGAGGTGCCTCATTTGCGCCCCCCAGTGATCATTGTAGGAACCCATGCAGACAAACCATTTGAAGACATTGAAACAATGAAAACAGAAATCCAGAACGCAATTGCTGGTAAGGACTATGAAGGACATGTGGAACGGCCTATCTTCAGCATTGACAACACTGCAAAATTAACTCAAAGAAGGATCAAGACAATGGTTTTCGGGAAAGATGAAAACATTGATGAGATCCAAGCTTTACAAATCAAAATCATGGAAGTGCTAAGACAGGAGCCTTACATTGGGGAGAGAATACCTATAAGGTAAAAAATGGTTGTACAAAAACAAAATCCATTAAAGTAAATATTAAATAAATTCTTGTGAAGGTTTGAGCTCTGAACGCACTGAAAGTATTGTTTATGTGTATGGCATTTGTTTTCGCCAGTCCTTGTAAGATTTTTGTTTGATGTGCAATGTGTTTCAGGTGTCTTAAGTAACTCAGTGGCTGCGACGCTATATAAAAGCGTGACCGCAAAACATCTAAAGGCTGGTTCATTTACTTTGGTTACAGAAGAACAGAAAAAATTCACTGATTCCTGTATGAGCCACCTGGCGGTCATAAGAAATGAATATCTCGTTGTTTGAAACAAGTTAACCATGAAAAGCAGTTTTGACTGGCCTTAAGGAATATTCTACCCTAAAGGGTTTGATAACGTTATTACGAATTGACCAAAAAGCACCATGTACATTTCAATTGTCGTTTTAAAAAGGTAAAGTAAAGTGGATCACACACAGATATTTATCAAGTGGATACAGTTATCCACCTTTCGAACAACTGAGCCCTGTACTTTAGTCAGTATAGGTAAACTGTGTATATGTGACATGGATACTTAAACACGCGCTATCAATTTTCTCTTTGGTTTTGTAAACTAGGTGGCTGAACTTTGAGAAAGTCATCAACGCTTTGCTTTCCAAGCCAGTTTATTACCTGAGTATAACAAAGCTACGGACCCATGCCAAGGAGAAGTGCTTCATTGATGAAGAGGAAGAGTTTACAACCATGGTGAATTTCTATCATGACCTGGGGATAATTATCAAGCACCGTGGCACAGTCATCTTGAGTACCCTGTGGCTGATAAAATTGTTCGGACAGCTGATCACTATTCCAGATTTTACGAAAATGGTAAGAAATGGATTTTAAACGTGTTTTAAAAGTTGCGTGGTTTATAATGGTCCACATTTTGGATGACATCACAGGCTTCCAACCGTGCTGTAGCTAATAAAAATAATCATATCAAGTGCATTGCACGCTATCTTTTTGAAAATGTTAACTGTTCCTCAAATATTTGTAAACAGCAAAAACGTAGTGGATTGGGCTGCTATTTAATATTTCCTCAGTGTAAAATAGTTAGGGTAGGCGATGTAATTCTGAAATGAAATCTTATAACAAACCTATAACAACTGAATTAGTACTAACGCCTGGTAAGCAGTCGTCCCTGTAATCAACCCGCTATACTGACGTCACTAAGAGGAAACATTACAATGAAACATTTTCACTGCACTTTCTTATTTGAACGTTGTAATATCCCAAGAGGATTCTTGTTTCAATTTCGAAGGACATCAGGTGACATCACGAGGTACCGGCTAACAATAAGAGGAGCTTATGACCAATTTACCTGCAATTTACCTTTTATGTAGGCTCAAAGGAATCGGACAACCAAACAGAGTGAAAATACATATTGTATATAGAAAGGAAACCTGACTTTTCTCCGCCCTAACTGATACACGCGAAGAGCGAATTGCGAAAAATTTCTAACACTGCTCAACCTACACAAAAAAGCTTAGGAGCTTTGCTTGTACCAAGCATTATTGTCTCCTACACTGACTTCCTTTTGGCTCGTTACGCAACCCTCTTCAACTAGATTACAAGTAGTCTCTTCCTCAGGGATAGTGGAGCGAGCGAATTACACGAGCGCGCGTGAAATTTGTCACCCTTGAGGAAAATATCCCAGAGGAAAATAAGGGGCCACTCGTAGTCTATCCTCAGTAGTATGTTAGGCATAGAATCAGCCTCTTTTGCGGTGGAATCTTCGCTGGAATGCATAAACGCTGATGACGTCATAACCTTTTGTCTTCATGTCATAAATAAAATGCGGTTGAATCTCTTTAAAGGGTTTAAAATAGCACACGGCCTTATCTTAGGGCTAGTTTACATCGAGGTGGAGGACCCTAGGTAGGTGAGATAACCCGCTGATGGTCACCCCAACTATCATGTAAACGTGGTCAAATTAAAATGAGACATTATGTGGACAGGTGGGTTTCCCCATCTAAGCGGGTTACCTCACCTGCCTGGGGTCCCCCACCTCCATGTACACAGGCCCTAAGATAAGGTCGTGTACTATTTTCAACCCTGTTGACAGGGTTTCCAGTTATTTCTTGGTAGATGAAGGTCTTGCTTTTTGATTGGTTGACGACTACATGTAAGAACAAGGACAAGTATTCATTGGTTGATTCAGGTTGTCGCAGGAATAAGCGCTAACTCAACTGTGACGTAGTTATGCAAGTTACATTTCATACCGCTTTCATTGTTCAATAAGTTGTTCCGGTTTACTATGCGCGCAAATCGTTATTTTTTCATGAGTACAAAGCCACACTAGCCCTTTCTACCACGAAAAACATTTTTCCACTTTCCCACATCCCTTTTTCCTTGTCCACATTTCATTGTTTCACATTGTTTCCTTCCACCACGACAACCACGTTTCTATTGTTTTCAATTTCTCTCAGCGCGAGGTTATGGTGAACGTTGTAAAGAAAAGAAAACTTAACTTCGTAAATCTTCTAACGTGATTGGAAAAAATTGTGTGACGAACCAAACGGAGGGCTGCTTCGAAGGCTATCCTCTTTACTTTTATTCACACAGTAGTACTTGCTAGGCAGACTACGTAACTTTTTCTTTATATTCGTCCCCACACAAAAACGGGAAACTCAAGATCTTTATCTTTGTTTGTTAATTAAAATATTAGATAAAATAACTAATAATTTACAAGTGCATTAATGAACTGGCTCAAAATTCTCCCAAAATATCACTATTTTAAGAAAGCTTTGTTACCGTCCTTCACCTTATTCCGTCTTAGGTTCCTAAGGTTGCCAAGCACTGGATGGAAGTTAAAGAAAGCGGTGTTCTCTCCATGGAACTAGTTGATCTTGTGTTTTCCAACTTTCTCCTGAAGGGTGTTGCCAGGAAAGACATACTTGATTTGATGGAACGATTTGGATTGATTGCAAAATTTTCATCTTCAGAGATAGGTGAAAAGTATTTTGTTCCATCTCAACTCAAAGCTTCGCCTGATTCCCTTTGTTCTATGGCGCCCTCAAGGCTGGACCCTTGTCCCCTGTTTGTTTACTTTGTCAGCGGTTCTGTCCCCCATGGTCTGTTCACACGGCTTGTTTCTCGATCTGTCCGTTGGTGTTCTGAAGCTGGTCCAACTCAGCCCCCTACCCTGTTCCAAAATGGAGCTTGGTTTGTTATTGGGAAGCAAACTTTCCATGATTTTGTTCTTATTTGTAAGAAGCAGTTTATTAAGTTTTTTATCAAGCAAAGAAACCAACCTCAGCAGATCTCAGTAGATGACACAAGTGAGGTTGCGGTGCAGGTTCGTGAGTTTGTGGAGGCAACTTTCCAAGTTTTGTCACGTGATCTCTATAAAGGTGGATTGCAGTATCAAATTCGGGTCGCCTGTCCGTATTGTCAGCGGGAAAAATGCTCAAGCCATAATAAGATTGCATGTTCTCATGAAGATTGTCTTCACCTCCTTGAGTTACGACAAGGCGATCCTCTGATTTGCAAGAAGAAACCTGCAGAGGAGGTACTCACAGTTACTGGACAAGAACAGTGGTTCTCACAAATAGAAAGTAAGGTAGGTAGTAGTGAAATGCGATCTCCAGCAGTGCTGTTAACATATTACATATAAATCGAATACACATACTACTTAAAATTGTCTTTCTAAAGAGTAGCCACAGTGACTGTAGCCATATATTTAAACTAAAGAGGATTCAACAAAGTCCATGGATGTGCTTTTTTAAGGTTATAGTATGAGGTTTAACGTATCCCTTTATTTATCCTACCACAAGCTCCACTGGAGTATAAGAGAAGGCTTTGTTGCTCTCAACTTAGCAAACATTGGTACTTGAAATCAAGTAAGTTGATAAGGTCAATTGACTACCATGTATTAATAATTGTTATTGGTGTGTAGGCAAAGCAGTTGGTATATAACTTTTTTTCAAGGTCTTTGTAAATGTGCTGTTTTGCTTTGCGGTTGAGCAATAAGTTTGCAGCATCTACCGTGTTGATAAAATGTTTTGCAAACTTTCATTCAAAAAGGTAGAAGCCCCCAGATATAAAATTTCTATTTTAAAGTATCCAATTTTGGTCGCTATGCAGGAAGCGTGTACTCCATCATCATCACCTGATACCGCACAAGCTGGTCCAGAGCGTCTGGTACTGAAAGTTACCCTTCTCGCGAATGAGTGGGGCTCGTCCAAGGGTGGCTTGTCAACAATAAACAGGACTCTTGCCATACATTTGGCAAAAGACGCAAACGTAGAAGTGACCATTCTTGTACCTGAATTTGAGTGTGGAGAGAAAGACAAGAGAGTGGCCAAAAGTCACAACATCTCCATTAGGGAAGCAAAGCATCTTCCTGGCTTTAGTGACCCTCTTGACTGGTTGAGCTATCCACCAGAAGACCTTGACATTCAGGTTGTGATCGGCCATGGAGCAAAACTTGGTAGACAAGCGCAAATTATAAGGAGGTATCATTGCTGCAAGTGGTTTCAGGTTGTGCATACTGAGCCTGAAGAACTGGCAATGCATAAGAACTATCTAAGCGCCATTGCCAAGGGAGAGGAGAAAAACAGAGCTGAAGTGGACCTTTGTCTAATTTCAGATCTCGTTGTAGCCGTTGGACCCAAGTTGAAAGACGCGATCTCGTCCCAGTTGCGCTCATCTCGTCGAGAAATCTTTCAATTAATACCAGGTTCCTTTACAGAGTTTTCAGATGTTGAGCATGCTGAACAAGAGAATGAGAGTTTCAAAGTGTTAACCTTCGGTCGTGGTGATTTTGAAGACTTTAGTCTTAAAGGATACGACATTGCTGCTCAATCCATAGTGGAATTGCAGGACAGTTCTTATAGTCTTGTTTTCGTTGGCGCACCCGATGGAAGGCAGGATGAAGTCGCAGAAATCTTACTCCAGAGTGGCATTTCAAAGAACCAGCTGATTGTGAGATCATTTGTGAAAGAGAAACAAAGATTGAAAGAATTGTTTTGTGAAGCCGATCTGGCCATCATGCCTTCAAGAACTGAGGGGTTTGGTTTGACAGCATTGGAGGCCATGTCAGCTGGTCTTCCCATTCTAGTTAGTGGAAACTCTGGATTTGGAAAAGCACTGCGTGGTCTTCCAATGGGTGAATCATTTGTGATCGACTCTGATGACCCCAAGGAATGGGCAAAGGCAATTGCAGCCATCCGTCAAAAATCGAGGACACAGCGGCTTGAGGAAATCCAAAGACTGCGAAGAAGTTATGATGAAAGATTCTGTTGGGAGAGACAGTGCCAGGCCCTTGTCGCCAGAATGTGGAGGATGGTCTATGGTAAGAAGTTAACTTAGCCTAAAGGAGAGTAATGATGATAGTAACTATTATTCGTTCAAAATATTTTCCGTTTTTGATTGGCTAAAAGCGCATGCATAATTTATCATAAACAGCTACTGTTGACCAAATTTGTCATTTTGAACAAATGACGTCAAAAGTGCAGCCAAAGTTGCAGATTACTGAACCGTTAACCGAGAATACCTGGGGACGAGGTTGAGTTGTTTTGGTGGTGAGAAAATGGCTGACACAGTCGGCGAAACATTGTCAAAATCATAGCAAGAAGAGAAAGAAGACAACTCGACGGACAACATCCGCTATTTGGAGTATATTTACAGAACAGAACAGACTTTTATCTCCTCAATTTCTCGATAAAGATGCGCTATCGATATAAACTTAACATCGACCGAGGGAAGGAAGTTTCAGCTTGTTTTTAGTCTTGGAATTATTTTCGGGGGGTGTTATCCACCTCGGCCTTCGTCCTCGGTCGATCTACAGAATTCTTCATATCCCACGAAAGCCGAATTCAATAATTGCTAATTATTACTTCAAACACGGTGAAAATGTCAAGTGCGTATCTCATATCAGGATTAGCCTTTGTTTGCCTTTATGATTCATCCCCGTATTTTATTTGCTTCAGCAAGAGCAAGTGCGTAAGCAAATTTAACAGTATTATGTTAGGCGGTGCATGTGAATAGCTGCAGAAAGATTGCCAACCTTACCTTTTAAACCTCAATAACAGCATTCATATTCTTCACACTGTTATCCATACATATCTTGTGGTACTGATAAGGAGAATTTGTTTAACAATCAAGATATTTTCACGTGCTGCTGGTTCTCTCTTTTAAAGAAACAGAATGACAGAGAACTGTCTAGCTAAAACTTTGGCTTATGATATATCACACAAAATAAATGGAGGGCTTCTCAGATTGGAATCGTTTACTTTTTTCTGTAATTGAATGTTTTTTTCTTCTTAAATTTTACAGGTGTTGAAAAGACCCAAGAAGATACCGTTCCCCAGAATGACTTTGAAAACGATGCAGCAAAAAGATCGATAACTGGTGATGTGGTTCTTTGATTTCTCAAATAAACCAGAGCCAAAATTTATTTTTGTACTAGAGTGGGGTTATTTTGTTCTGTTGAAACCAGGACAAATTTATATTTTCGGCTGTTTTTACCTAAAGACCAGTTCATCATGTCCTATTAAACTGACGTGAAATAACCTCATTCGTATTTTAATAATTTCCCTCTGCCGTTTACAGGCGAAGCAATTTTCCTTGCACTTCAACAAATCCTGCTGGAAGCACGCACAGAGTCCAGCAAAACTGAGCTGTCGCAGGCTTTAAAGAGGACTGCGTTGGAGAAAGGTTTTGCGATATCTGACAATCAAGGAGAGGGAAACTGCATGTTTTTTGCACTTTCAGAGCAGCTTGACCTCATCAAAGGAATTCAGATATCCCATGATGAGTTACGCCGAGCTATTGTTCAACATCTTCGGAAAAACCCCAGTCTGGTAAGTACCTTTGGTTATTGTTTTTTCGACGGTGGATTTATTTGCAATATATGCGAAAGCCGTCGCATTTTCCCGCTGAAATCTTTTTATTGTTTTTAAGGTTAAAAGCAATAAGGTCTTGTTCTAACGTATCCGAAATACGTGTCCACACGTTTTCACACAATTTTTTGCGCCTGTTCACATAAATACGCTGAAATGAATGACATACGATGACTTCCCTTACAGAGCAAACTCACTGATACTAGCATATAATGCATGACATCATTGTATTAGAAAACCTCTGTTTTCTTCCGTCCACACGTAAACGAGAATTCGGCGTTTTCAAAAGTCCACTCTGGGGACCGCTTTCTGGGGACCTGTTTTTTTGGTGCCCGAAAAGGCCGTTTTCTTGTGGACGGAAGGCTAAAAATACCCTGATACGTGTGGACGGGGCCTTAAATTCTTGCAGCCAAATGCTACGGCTTTACAGGTATGATGCAAATGAATCCACCCTTTATGAGCAAAACATCAGCTCTGCACGAGCATCACGCTTATTTGTATTTTGTTTCGTCTTCCGCTGCACGACTTGAAACTTCCTAATGCGACGTTTTGTGGAGGGCCTCGAAAGCATGGCGACGAAATATTGTTATTGGATCCGGATGCTGCCCTTAGAATTCAAATCCAGGAAATTTCTTCTACTTTTTCTTCTACGTTACATACGCGCCATAAAGGTTTAAAATAAAGCAAGTTCATTTCCTTTAATCACGTTTTTGACTCGGAGGCGTAAATGAAAACAGATTTTAGGAAATCTGTTTCTGTCGCCATGATCGTCTGACTCATGTCCTAATTTTTTATAAGTACTATGTCATTTTGGTAAGTATGAAATGTTCACCAAAAGCCGCTTTGTTCGAACAGAACATGTCTACTTAGTAAAATGAAGTGAATACTTTATTTAAAGAGGGTAAGACTCGACAAGTATAGTATGAACGGATAAACTTGAGATCCTCAATACTTGTATTGTCATTTCTGACCCAACATACTGGTCGAAATTTCCAAACTTTTATTTTTTCATAGTAAACACCTCTTCCCCCCTCTTTTACACGTGTAACGTGTTGGTCCCTGCCGTTCTTAATTGTTTTTCTTGGAAAGAAAGAGAGTAAGGAGAGTAGTATGGGATACAAACGTTAGACCTCCTTTTTGAAGTGAAATCTCATTAGTATGAAGTGGAGCAAATAAACGTCAATGGCATCTTTATCTCTTGAATAAAATGCGGTAGAATCTCATCAACATAACGTCACGAGCTATACGAGGGATGTAGTGTGCAGGGATCATGTTCTTATTTGGTTAGTATGCTATCATAGTCTATTTTATTGTCCATTGCAGACAACCTTTTGGCCTGGTTCCGGTTCACTGCTAAAGTGGACATATCTGCTCTAGTGGCCGCTCTAGTGCCGATACCAGTGGGGACCGCCTTAGAGAGAGCTGACAGCGCAGCTGCCTGAATATATACCTTCTACAAAAGCACTCTACCTCTTTCTCTATTAACTATAGTATTTTCTTTTTTTCTTACAGCCGGATGGGACAGAACTGTTTCATTTTGTTGACGGATATCCATCTTGGGATGCCTACCTCACAAGCATGATGACAGATAGTACATGGGGTGATCACGTGATTCTACACGGCGCGGCAAACTGTTTTCAAACGTGCATCCACGTGATCAGCAGTCTGCAGCATCGCCATGACGTAATGATCTGCCCAGAGTTTGATGTTACTGGTAGCAACCGACTTGTGCTGGGTCACCTGCATGAGCTTCACTATGTTAGCCTTATTCCACAGAAAGGAGGTAAAGATGTCTGATTATACTGCGATTCAAGAATTGCTAACTCGCGATATCAAATTGAAGACACTTGAGTTGAACAACTGGCTGAACCTTTATTGTGGCAACTTATTTGCAAAGATGCTGGCAAGAAACAAGATGTCTTTTATTCATATGTACAGTTTTATAATCCGTCAATGTTATTATTACGGTACAAATAGCCATATAAATAGACTAAGTATTCATAACAAAACATTTCTGTTTCAAAAAATTAATACAGCCCCTTCAATTAGTTAGATAAATTACTGTAACATTCTTAATAAAACTTGGTTTTTAGGGCCACCACCTTGCCAGCAGTCCCCTGTAAATACTCCACCATTTGAGCCTGTTGTAGTGTAAGACGTAGCAAAATGCGCGTACTTGTAATCAGCTTGTTTCTGTGTCTTCTAGTGAATAACTGTTGCTGATGATTGTTACTCCGTTTGCGGCGTGTTTAAACACTTAGTCTTACCGTCTGCAAGGAGACGAGTCACAATTTTTTCTGACATTTTCATTAGTATTTAGGTGTTAAGAACAGCTTCTGTTTCAGATATCACTTGCCTGAAGTCTCTGAAATAATTCAGTGTCAGTTTTATTCATGAGTAAAATTTTTTCTTAAAAGATCACTCGTACCTCAAGATGTTCCTAACCACAGAGCATCATGAGTCAAAACACATTTCCAATCGAATTTGTTGGAAAGAATCCTGTCTCAGGTGCTCTTTATCAATCTGTGAATATTTTCAGCCGTTAAGGTAATTCTTTTTTGGGGGATTTTAGTTAATGGAATGAATGCTTAAGGGTATTGTCTGTGTAAATACAACAGCCTCTCATCCGCCCCGTCGCGGGGAAAAACCAATTCCTTATTATACAATGTAAGTATTTTCATATTAGACGTAATTTACTAGCGTATATTTCTTACCATCCTAAGTATATATATATTTTATAGACCACTGCTTCTATTTAGGTACATCAAGCAATAAAGGTTACAGTAAAAGTAGTTAGGGTGTAGAATCACGTCCCTCTACCTAGTTAGTGAGAATTTTTCTAAAATTATCTAGTAAAGGTGTCGCATAGTTTATCAATTTATACATTAAATAAGCGTCAAAATAAGTCTAGTTAATCCGTCAATTAGCCATTCATAAGTTCGGGTCAGTGTTAAAGAGGAGAGTGATTCCAGTCAAATAAGGACGCTATTTTCCTTCAAGGCAAGAATCACGTATCTAACATCCATTGTTACAGAAAATGAGCTCTATTTGATTAAAATTGGCTAACACTTTCAATATATTGTTTTTTCTTGGCCTAGTTAAGAATGCGGGTAGAGACTTAATCTTAAAACGCATGAAACGAGCTAGATATAATGCATTTTTTGGCATTTCACTATTATTTCAGTCACTTTCTGAACTCAGGTATTCCTAAGAAACTAACTTCAAGTCTGATTACTTTCCTGAAGAATCACGAATCACAAAGTAAGAAGATCGCGTTTAGACCGAATCTCGGTAATATCTGAGCTGCTTTTACGTCTCCCGCGCTAATCTTTACTCGAATCAGTGCCACTTCTGACACTGCAAGTCTATTTCACAATAAATTGTTCTGAGATTTCACTTTTGTCTGATGTATTGTGTACTTTCTTTCAAAACAAGCGAAATGCGGCCTTCAGAAAATTTCAGTTTTTCAATATATCCAGAGAAGCACATGCACCACCACCTAGAAACTCGCGCGATGATTGAACCTTCCCAAGGACATGTCATGTTTTTTTATCATGAAGTGGGTACCGGCAGTGGCCTGTGTCAGGCGTTTGGATAGAAGAGATAGCGCGATGAAGAGAGCGCAGTGGGAAGAAGGGAAGAGACCAAGGATACTCACCATTTACACAAACCACCCGGGTGGAAATATTGTGCATAAACACAAACTATAAAATTTGACTTGGTGCGAGAATGACGCGTTACAAAGAACAACCAATTCAGCTGAACAGACTAAAAAGAGTAGAAAAATTGCATCGCCTTTAATCACAGCCCATATTTTGAGAGGCTTCCCAAACAGATCAGTGCCCAGAATCATTTAATTTTCCAACCGAAATTTCTGGTTTTCTCATGTAAATGGCAAGTACCCCCTAAACTCGAGCAGCTCCCACTTTCTAAACACCAGGGAGCAGCTAGGCTGTCGAAGGTCCATGGATGGTGGATTTCACGAAGCGTATTATGATAAGCAAATGTATCACTCATGTAGACACTTTCGTAATTAGTCCACTCGCACGAGAGCGCCCGACATCAAAACGACAATTGTCGTAGATCGATCGTTCCCGAACGTCCCCTCGATAAAGAAGTGCTGGGCGTGCTTTGTGCCCAGAACTTTCTATGTTATGATTTTAGTAGCTCGAAGAGTAGGCGATCGCTGGAGAAAAGCGGCAAACATGTTGGCCCAAACTTCACACTGAAACCGAATACGAAAGCCAGATCACTACAATTCTGTTTTGGATTAGATTAATTCCGTCGCTTTGGAAGGAATTGTTAGAGGTACGTTGGCAGAGCTTAGCAAACATCTCATGATTTCTTTGTCATTGCGAAATAATTAAAAATAATTTTATCAAAATTAGAAGCTGTAGTGTGTGAATCTTATGGCTTGCTATTTGCCAGGTGAAAATTTTATAGCGATCGGACAAGGAAAAAACTACTTTTAAGGCGATTGAAAAATATCGGTATGGCCTTTGAAAAACTGTATCGAAACACCTTAAGGGTATTGTCTGTGTAAATACAACAGCCTCTCATCCGCCCCGTCGCGGGGGAAAACCAATTCCTTATTACAGTCGACTCTCTCCTAACGGACACCTCTGTAAAACGGACACCTAGAGTTGGTCCCTGCTTTTCTTTACTCCCTTTATTTGACTCTCTATAAGATGGAAACCTCTCTAAGACGGACACTTGGGGCCGGTCCCAAAGGTGTCCGTCTTAGAGAGGGTTGACTGTATACAATGTTAGTATCCTTATATAAGACGTAATTTACTAGCGTATTTTTCTTACCATCCTAAGTATATATATATTTTATAGACCACTGCTTCTATTTAGGTACTTCAAGCAATAAAGGTTATAGTAAATGTAGTTAGGTTTAAGAGTCACGTCCCTCTACCTAGTTAGTGAGAATTTGTTAAAATTATCTAGTAAAGGTGTCGCATAGTTTATCAATTTATGCATTAAATAAGTGTCAAAATAAGTCTGGTAAATCCGTCAATTAGCCATTCATAAGTTCGGGTCAGTGTTAAAGAGGAGAGTGATTCCAGTCAAATAAGGACGCTATTTTAATTCATGAAAAGAATCACGTATCTAACATCCATTGTTACTGAAAGTGAGCTCTAATCGATTAAAATTGGTTAAAACTTAGTCGAGTCACTTTCAATATACTGTTTTTTCTTGGCCTAGTTAAGAATGCGGGTAGAGACTTAATCGTAAAACGCATGAAACGAGCCAGATATAATGCATTTTTTGGCATTCTACCATTATTTCAGTCACCTTCAGCACTATGGCTAACTTGGAGAAAGAAATTCATGAACTCAAAACTATTTAACTCGTTCAGGCGCACTAACGTGGCGAAGAGATGAGCAATGGCTCTTCGACACTCCAAGCTAGCACGGTTTCTCGTTTCTCCCGCCCCAAGCTCCTCCCACTGCCCTCGCCCACCTTGGCTTGTTTGAGCGCCTGACCAACAAAGCTAAGCGTTACTTGCTATTGACATGGGTTGAAATCTGAAAACGATATCACAATTCGCTAGCTTCCGATTAGCTTCGGCGTTTTCGGCTCACATTTTCCTCTGCATTAAGAAAAAAAACCTGTTTTAAACAATCTGCGGATTTAATTTAACTAGAGTGTTGATATTTATCTCTTTCTCGTGTCTGGTGATTGTTTTTGTGAAGTTTCAGCTTTGACTGTTTTCTTGTTGACTGTTCTTTTGTTCTGAGCTGATTTTCCTGGGTCTTTCCCAATTCTCTCTCCTTGACATTTAAGCTGAAATTCGTAATGATGACATTGAGTATTAAGACACACCTTTACTCGACACCCCGGTTAACTTAGCATCCTTAAAGATAGCCTCCCTTTTAGTCGTTCTTTTGGCTTGTAACATGGCAGTGACTTTTGACGAACTCTTGAGGAGGTCTGTTTGAGACACTACTATTAACGAGACTTTCACTGGAAAAATCTTGGCTTTGCCCCCTGAAAACCATGCACAAGTGAGACCAAACTCTGCAACTGTTACCCCTAAACCGGTCAATTTTATAGGGAGGTCCCCCGGTTCATCTTCTTGATGGAGCACAGCAGTTTCCTTCGGAACAGACCAATTTACATAAAAGCTTACGAAGAATGATCTTGGGCTAATAATTAAAGGATTAAACGAAAACAATAAGAACTAATTCTACTCAAAAGGTCTATTTGCAGACTAATAGGTGATTCAGGCATTGCTACATTTCTCTTCTAATGAATTGAAACGGACCTGCTTTGTAAACGATCTGTCATTTAGTGAATTAAGCTTAAAGCAAACACTTTTCTTTGTTCTCTTCCGTAAACTGACAGGGGGGAATACCTTTCAAGTTTCACAAAGGGCACAGCTTTCAGAAATTTGGGTGTCCTTATCCTCTCTTGACGAAGCCAATTTTTTAACCCCTTAAACCTTAGGATCAAAATTTGAATTCTCATTTGTTACCCCTATTCATTTCCTACAGAAGTAGATGGGAGAAGTTGATAAAATATCAAGTCACTGATTCATCTTGTGTGACCTTTTCCGTAATTCTCATGACTTACCACTTGGTTTTACAAAGCAATGATATTACCGACCCTTAGGGCTAAAAGGGTTAAAGTTTTGCATGGTGGAAAGGAGAATTTGTCCTTTCTGTTTCTGTTTAGTGAGCCCGAAATATACTAGTACATGCGTCAAAAAAACATGATCTCCATGACGCTACAAAGATCAGTTCTATGATGTACCTGAAAACAAACTTGACAAACTGTTTTATCTATCATTACACCATGAAAATCTCCTCTGCCGCATGCTTCACAATACTTAGTTCCACAGAACCTGCACTTGAATATCTGCAAATTTGGATCGAAGTAGTCAGTTGAAAGCCAGTTTAAGGTGAATCTCGCATAGATGAGTTGCTGTTGCACGTTTCTTGATTTCTTGCAAGAGTTTGCCTTTTTATGTACCTGTTTCAAAAATTATCATTTACACAGGCTTGATCTGTGCGTCTATATACTAACTTGTGGATTACTAACTTGTGCATATAATCCGCCGGTGGTGACCATTCGAATGAAACCTTTTCATTTAAAATGCCAAGGTAAAGAAAGTTCAGTTTACCCAAATTTGATTTGAAACATAAAATAGTTGCGCTTTCTTGACAATAAGAGCAGCAAACGTTTGCTTCTAAGCTGAGCTATCTGAGCTCCTACAGCCGTCTGCTACAGAAACATTTATATGTGCACAGCATGTGGTATCAATATTTTAAACCAACTGACAGCTTGTTTACAATCTTGGGCTGTAACGCAAATTACAATATTCAGAAAGACAGAAAAAAAGCCAGCTTAACACTCCCGCTGACTTTTAAAGTTACATGATTGTATTGATTATAGACCTTTTCTACATTGTGACTCAATAAAAGCGAAACTATTTAGTACCTAATTAACACTCACTACATTCCACAATGTAGTTTTTAATCACATGCAACGAGACTTCACACGCATTCTTAATATATAAAGAACTTTCAACAATCTATCTTTTTAGAATTTGAAAATGATGAGTGAGTCATCGAAACGTCATTCAAAATTTTTATCGTTGATTTTTATTCTGGAATTTTAGTCGGCAGGAAAAAAATTTTTGCAGACAAATGTAAATAAAATTTTAAAACCTAGTTCTAGCGCAGGTAGCTACATGTAACGCCGTAAACTTTTTTCAGTAGAATCGTTAGGAGTGAAGCTGTAGTTTACAATCCATATTTTTCTCAGAACAGCCGTTTTACGGAAATTATTCGACATTAGATTCTAACACAAACACTGTAATTTCTCACGCGGTTGCCTAATCGTCAAGATGGCTTCCAAAACCGTGACAAGGTCTATTAGACTGTCATGTGTTGGCGCTTTTTTGTTTTCAAACCAGAATGCTATCAAAGTTTGTCAGACATCAAAAGGGCCTCATAACCTGTAGCAGGCGTTCAGATTATAGGGACGGCGCTATAAGATGTGGGCAGAAAAACACTATGAGGGGGTGGGGTAGGGATTGTTTCCCGCTCTCTGACCATCACACCTCACTCCACTCTGAATCCTAGCGCAGGCTACTTCCCAGAGGGCCCCACAAACTTTTGTCTCACCTTTCCATCCCTCCCTCCCAAAAAAGCTGAAAGTCAAAAAATCAATTTTCGAACACAACTCGGTTGCAGCGAAATTTAGATTTTTATACCAAGAAGCTGACTTTTTCGCGAAAATCTAGGAATACATTTTGCTCAGTTTGACTTACACAGTTTGTAAAAAGTTAATTTTATAGTCACTCTGTTGAAGGTGCAAACGAATTTGGTAAGCTACATATTTTTTTTTCAGTGTTTGTAGTAGGGCCAAACAAATTTCGGAGTTCTACAACTCTTCTTCAAGATTTTGCATGGAACGATCGATCGATTTGAAGGTTGTTTGGTAGAATATCCTGTTCGTGTGATTTCTGTGACTGTTGTTTAAAGATGCGTATTTATTTTAGTCTTTTTTGTGCTTTAAATATATAGAAGGACTATATTTTAATTTCAGTAAACTGTAATAAAGAGTTTTGGCGTCTGTCCTCAGATTAACTGTCTGGTTATATAAAGGCCAAAGGATTTTCAATTGAGGACTCCTTTTTTTTTTTCAACTGTGACTCACTGGTTCCGAACAGGGACTCGTTATTTTTTACAAGATGATGGAGTCACCATAACTATTTGTAACAAAATCACTGAGAGTTTTAATGTTCTTAATTTGACTAGTTTTTATTTTCTTGCTAGCGTCTGGAAGTTTGGCTCTTATAAAACAAAAGAGAAAGAAGAAGACAAAACACAAAAGACGACCAAGATGAGAAGAGGCACTATTGAAGGAATTCTGAGGCTGAAGAAAAGTACGATGAAATTCGTCTGATACGTGTGGAGACTGTCGTCGTCTGTTTAAGAACGTCGAATATACACCTGGATGCTTATTCTCGTGTCTGAGGAAGGAAAGACGCTTGTGTCATAGAAGTGGAGGCTTTGACGAATAACTTTCATTGGATACACGGCGGTTTCAACTGCTAAAACCACGACATTCATTTGGCACGATAAACAGTTACGTCTTGTATCGCTATATTTCCTTTCTATTATTTCGTTCCTCTTCAAGTTTAAGTTTGAAAATATTTAATCTGTCACTGTAGGGAAGTCTGCGGTAGGTTTCACCTTGTGCCGACCTTGACAATGGTTCAATCTTGTTACCTGGGTCTAGTTATTTATTCTGTTTGTTCTGTGCCGTTGACTAATCTCCAGTTACCTGTGGTATTGAGACGTTTTAGTCGTTTTCGCCCACGTAAAAGGATCATAAAGGTGATAAAGACTGTTAATTGGACATTCAAGGGTATAAGCAGAAAAAACTGCATTCTTTTAACCTATGGGCATGATATTTCTTGAGTTGGCTAACTCGATGGATTGTTAGAAAAGAACACACAATATGCAAATTAACTAGTAAACTTGATCAAACTTTGACGCATGGCACTGTTTTCGTTAATGTAATAAAACCCAGCGATGTTGGGTACGCAATGTACGTCTCATAGACGCCAAAAACCGTTCACAAATGAAGAATAAAATATATCATTTTGGTAGTTTTGCTCGAAATTTTTATCTTTCAGTGGTGAAGGTGAAGGTTCCGCACCTGGGAATCAAACTCTAAATCTCCCGCACATATGGTCGCGTATTCAAACGACTGTGCTGTTCTTTTTCCCAAATGACAATGGGTAAAATGTTAATGGAATTATTCTTGATTTTCCTGTCCTGCTTGGAGCGGAATCTGTCCCCATCCCCATATTGATGGTTGCACCTGAAACACAAAGGCTTAGTTATTCACACGAAGGTTAAGTTACAAAACGACAGTTTACGTTAGTCTCTTGTGGACCAGCAAATTTGCTTACAAGTGTTTTCGCCTTAGGCACAACTCCAAGACGAAGGGAAAGGTTGTAACCTCCTTGAATTAAAGCTCCCTGCAAACTGACGGAAACTGTTTGGCCAAGAACTCTTAACATTGTGGGGTGTTACATGTTGCGTCCGTTTGCACTCTCTGTTGTACGTTGTTGCGCAAAGTTTGAAACCGGTCAAGCTCTTTGAGTCAACAACTTCCAATAATATTTTTTTTGTTCCGTGATCGCCGACGCGTAGCCCTGTATTGTTGAATCCGTTGTTGGGGCCACGCCTGGTCTCCTTGAACGTCATTCAAGATGCCAACTGTTAGACTGGTAACAGTCTCTTTTTTCCTTCAGATTTAGTGAGGTGCGAACACGCGCCTTCAGCCACGCGCGTGTTCATTTTCGTGTCTCGCTCGTTTTGCTCAACAGACTGAAAAAAAGGGGGACTGCTGGTAGTTTAGATGGCTGTAGAATTCTGTAAGCTTACAGCCTTATCGGTCGTATCTATCCCGTGATGCACTCTAAGTTCCACCCCCGTCTGGAGTTGTTGCATCCGTTTGCACATCACCGCCAACACAATCCAACGACTCCCAACATTTTGGGGCTAACAAATGTTGAGAGTTGTTGCGTCTGTATAATCGGTAATGTTTTTTGTTGCGTTCTAAAGTTGGACATCCATAAAGCGGCCACCCTCGGAGTATCAGCAAGTGTTTGCTTAATGGAGGTTGGTCGCTCAATAGAGGTTTGTCATAAATTAGCATATTCTTTAGCACAAACATCACTATTTTGAAAAAGACGCGCCACGAAAGAAGCATTACTGGTCCACAATCGGTCGTCAACTTCTATCTCGGACTGTATCCCTTCATCATACTTTTGAAATGAAGTTAAACTAGGTGTATCGAGCCCTTGATGAACACTTTATAAAGTTGACAACAATGGAAGAGCTCTCATGATTGAGACGGCCAAGAGGTTGTCGCTGCATAAAGATGTAATTTCCCGGCATTCTTTTCTACAATTATTTTGTGTGGCGTCTTATCGGAGTTTCAACTGTATTACCGTATTTATTGTCTGCATGTATGATCGAACGAAATCGGTAGGAGAAATAAACCAAGTTAACAAGATATTTCGCGTTGCTTTGTGATGCNTCTAAATCTCCCGCACATATGGTCGCGTATTCAAACGACTGTGCTGTTCTTTTTCCCAAATGACAATGGGTAAAATGTTAATGGAATTATTCTTGATTTTCCTGTCCTGCTTGGAGCGGAATCTGTCCCCATCCCCATATTGATGGTTGCACCTGAAACACAAAGGCTTAGTTATTCACACGAAGGTTAAGTTACAAAACGACAGTTTACGTTAGTCTCTTGTGGACCAGCAAATTTGCTTACAAGTGTTTTCGCCTTAGGCACAACTCCAAGACGAAGGGAAAGGTTGTAACCTCCTTGAATTAAAGCTCCCTGCAAACTGACGGAAACTGTTTGGCCAAGAACTCTTAACATTGTGGGGTGTTACATGTTGCGTCCGTTTGCACTCTCTGTTGTACGTTGTTGCGCAAAGTTTGAAACCGGTCAAGCTCTTTGAGTCAACAACTTCCAATAATATTTTTTTTGTTCCGTGATCGCCGACGCGTAGCCCTGTATTGTTGAATCCGTTGTTGGGGCCACGCCTGGTCTCCTTGAACGTCATTCAAGATGCCAACTGTTAGACTGGTAACAGTCTCTTTTTTCCTTCAGATTTAGTGAGGTGCGAACACGCGCCTTCAGCCACGCGCGTGTTCATTTTCGTGTCTCGCTCGTTTTGCTCAACAGACTGAAAAAAAGGGGGACTGCTGGTAGTTTAGATGGCTGTAGAATTCTGTAAGCTTACAGCCTTATCGGTCGTATCTATCCCGTGATGCACTCTAAGTTCCACCCCCGTCTGGAGTTGTTGCATCCGTTTG